GATAACATAAATAAAAACAAGCTGAGCTTATGTTTTTATAAAACATCTAGCATTGAGAAACAGCATAAAAGAATATAATGGTTTTTGTTAACTGTTTATATTTCTAAAATTATTTGAAAAACATAACATTATTATTTGAATGATTTTATAAATGTTGATAGAATATATCATTTGAAATTACATGAAAAGAACAAAAGTACACTTTAATTGAATGATTTTAGTAATTGTTGATCCGATTTATCACGTGAATTATCTTAAACTTGGGATTTTTTATGCCAGCATACACAATTTTTTTATTTTTTGTGTGTACGTGTGTTATTGATTATGTTTATGAACGATTATAGGAGAATTTTTGTTGTCAAAACAATGCAACTAAAAATAATAGGTGTTTAATCTTAGGACACCATGACTTATTTTCAACACATCTCTTTAATTTTTTAAAAAATTCCTTTTATTCTTTAAATTTTCAAAAAAAGAATTCAATTTTACTAGTGAATTATAAGTATTCTTCCATTTCCAATATTATTATTATTAGCTAATGTTAACAATTTAAATTTATTAATATATAAACAGAATAAATGTTTAAGTGAGGTGGCATAACAACTGTTTAGGGAAAAAAAAGTGAAAGTTGCCTACAATTTTTGTTAGTTTAATAATTAAATATCAACGTAAATTAATATTTTTAGGAGAATATGTTTATGAACGATGTTCAATTATTATTTTAGTATCAACGATGCGATGTTCAATATCAACGATGTTTAAATATCAACGTAAATAAATATTTTTAGGAGAATATCAACGTAAATAATGTTATAAGTATTCTTCCATTTCCAATATTATTATTATTAGCATAATATTTTTGTTAGTTCAATTTTTTTATTTTTTTTGTGTACGTGTGTTATTGATTATGTTTATGAACGATTATAGGAGAATTTTTGTTGTCAAAACAATACAGGCAAAAAAATTTAAGTATTGCATTTTAATTAAATAATTACGCATTTATTGTAATTTTAGAAATAATTACGGATCTATTGCACAATGTGACGCTTTTTTTGGGCGTCACATGTGACGCCTCATTTAGGCGTCTCCCCTGGGCGTCTCTCACCTAAGGTTGACACGTGTCATTTTTTTCTAAAAAAATAATATTTTAATCATAAAACTTCTGAAGGACATAACTTTTGACTCGGGTATCCAATTTAGGTAATTGTTTTTTTGATTCCACATAACTTTTCAAGATCTACGCAATGACATCTCATTTGATATATTTTATTTCTCATAAACACAATTTTAATTTGCAAGAATGGTATTATAAGAGCGGTTAAACCAAGAAGCCTCTGAGTTCTGGGTTTGTGATTTAATATAAAGAAATAAATAAAATTTTGATTTGTGATTTAATTTTTTTTTATAATACTTTTTTTATTATAAAAAAAATTTGATTTATGATTTAAATTAAAATTAAAAATAAAAATTATTTTTAATAAGGAAAACAAAATAAAGATTTGATTTGTGATTTAAACTAAAAAATCAATTTGAAAAATCTGTAGAAATAAAGAAAATAATTAAATAAATATTCTAAATATCTAAGGAAAAAGGATATTATTTTTGAAATTAATGATTAATGCTATAATCTTCTGGGTTATTATTCGTGGTCTGAAATTAATGATGGCTTATGAATGTTTTTCAAAAATAAAATTACCTAAATTAGGCGTGATTGCCTCTTGATTGAAACCCAATTTAGACGTGATTGGTGACGTGTCAGGTGTTGACACGTGTCAAATTTTTAAACTCAGAATCCTCTGAGTTCTGCGTTTGTTATTTAATATAAAAAATAAATCAAGATTTTATGTGTGATTTAATTTAAAAATAATTTTTTTTATTATAAAAAAATTTGGTTTGTGATTTAAATTAAAGGTAACAATTATTATGAATAAGGAAAACAAAATAAAGATTTGATTTGTGATTTAAACTCAAAAATCAATTTGAAAAATCTGTATTAATAAAGGAAATAATTAAATAAATATTCTAAATCTCTAAGGAAGAAGGATTACCTAATTTAAATTTAAATTACGTTTGTGAGAAATAAAATATATCAAATGAGATGTCATTGCGTAGATCTCGAAAATTTATGTGGAATCAAAAAAAGAATTACCTGAATTGGATACTCCGAGTCAAAAGTTATGGCCTTCAGAAGTTTTATGATTAAATTATTATTTTTTATTAGAAAAAAAATGACACGTGTCAACCTTAAGTGAGAGACGCCTAAATGAGGCGTCACATGTGACGCCCAAAAAAGGCGTCACAATTTGCAATAGATCCGTAATTATTTCCAAAACTGCAATAAATGCGTAATTATTTAATTAAAATGCAATAATTAAATTTTTTTTCCAAACAATGCAACTAAAAATAATAGGTGTTTAATCTTAGGACACCATGACTTATTTTCAACACATCTCTTTAATTTTTTAAAAAATTCCTTTTATTCTTTAAATTTTCAAAAAAAAAATTCAATTTTACTTGTGAATTATAAGTATTCTTCCATTTCCAATATTATTATTATTAGCTAATGTTAACAATTTAAATTTATTAATATATAAACAGAATAAATGTTTAAGTGAGGTGGCATAATAACTGTTTAGGGAAAAAAAAGTGAAAGTTGCCTACAATTTTTGTTAGTTTAATAATTAAATATCAACGTAAATTAATATTTTTAGGAGAATATGTTTATGAACGATGTTCAATTATTTTTTTAGTATCAACGATGTTCAATATCAACGATGTTTAAATATCAACGTAAATAAATATTTTTAGGAGAATATCAACGTAAATAATGTTATAAGTATTCTTCCATTTCCAATATTATTATTATTAGCATAATATTTTTGTTAGTTCAATTTTTTTATTTTTTTCTGTACGTAGGAGAATTTTTGTTGTCAAAACAATACAGGCAAAAAAATTTAATTATTGCATTTTAATTAAATAATTACGCATTTATTGCAATTTTAGAAATAATTACGGATCTATTGCATAATGTGACGCTTTTTTTGAGCGTCACATGTGACGCCTCATTTAGGCGTCTCTCATCTGAGGGGAGACGCCCCATTGGGGCGTCTCTCACCTAAGGTTGACACTTGTAATTTTTTTTCAAAAAAATAATAATTTAATCATAAAATTTCTGAAGGTCATAACTTTTGACTCCGGTATCCAATTTAGGTAATTCTTTTTTTGATTCCACATAACTTTTCGAGATCTACGCAATGACATCTCATTTGATATATTTTATTTCTCATAAACACAATTTTAATTTGCAAGAATGGTATTATAAGAGCGGTTAAACCAAGAAGCCTCTGAGTTCTGGGTTTGTGATTTAATATAAAGAAATAAATAAAATTTTGATTTGATTTAATTTTTTTTATAATACTTTTTTTATTATAACAAAAATTTGGATTGTGATTTAAATTAAAATTAAAAATAAAAATTATTACTAATAAGGAAAACAATATAAAGATTTGATTTGTGATTTAAACTAAAAAATCAATTTGAAAAATCTGTAGAAAAAAAGAAAATAATTAAATAAATATTCTAAATATCTAAGAAAAAAGGATATTATTTTTGAAATTAATGATTAATGCTATAAGCTTCTGGGTTATTATTCGTGGTCTGAAATTAATGATGGCTTATGAATGTTTTTAAAAAAAAATTACCTAAATTAGGCGTGATTGCCTCTTGATTGAAACCTAATTTAGACGTGATTGGTGACGTGTCAGGTGTTGACACGTGTCACATTTTTAAACTCAGAAGCCTCTGAGTTCCACGTTTGTGATTTAATATAAAAAATAAATCAAGATTTGATGTGTGATTTAATTTAAAAATAATTTTTTTATTTTTATTATAAAAAAATTTGGTTTGTGATTTAAATTAAAAGTAACAATTATTATTAATATGGAAAACAAAATAAAGATTTGATTTGTGATTTAAACTCAATAATCAATTTGAAAAATCTGTATTAATAAAGGAAATAACTAAATAAATATTCTAAATCTCTAAGGAAGAAGGATTACCTAATTTAAATTTAAATTACGTTTGTGAGAAATAAAATATATCAAATGAGATGTCATTGCGTAGATCTCGAAAAGTTATGTGGAATCAAAAAAAGAATTACCTGAATTGGATACTCGAGTCAAAAGGTATGGCCTTCAGAAGTTTTATGATTAAATTATTATTTTTTTAGAAAAAAAAAATGACACGTGTCAACCTTAGGTGAGAGACGCCTAAATGAGGCGTCACATTGTCCAATAGATTCGTAATTATTTCCAAAACTGCAATAAATGCGTAATTATTTAATTAAAATGCAATAATTAAATTTTTTTTCCAAACAATGCAACTAAAAATAATAGGTGTTTAATCTTAGGACACCATGACTTATTTTCAACACATCTCTTTAATTTTTTTAAAAATTCCTTTTATTCTTTAAATTTTCAAAAAAAAAAATTCAGTTTTACTTGTGAATTATAAGTATTCTTCCATTTCCAATATTATTATTATTAGCTAATGTTAACAATTTAAATTTATTAATATATAACCAGAATAAATGTTTAAGTGAGGTGGCATAATAACTGTTTAGGGGAAAAAAGTGAAAGTTGCCTACAATTTTTGTTAGTTTAATAATTAAATATCAACGTAAATTAATATTTTTATAATCAGTCAATATTTTTTTTACGTTTTGATATCTTCACAAAACTACAAATGCTCAAGTCCTACAATTTAATTTTTTATTTTTCCTATATTTTGAATAAGAATTATCTAAGATATAAATTATATCTGTATAGATAAAAATTAAAATAAAATAAAAAGATGTTAAAATTATATAGCAGAATAAACATTTAAAGTGAAGTGGGCTGGCATAAAAGGCAACTTCTATATATATTGACCCGTAACAGGAAAACAGAAAAACCTCATAGCTTTCAAGAAACCAAAACCCAATTCACAAAAACATGAAAGAAATGTCAGCAACTGCATACGACACTGATGATGTCTCTGTTTCTTTAACCAAGAAGAGGAAGATTTATGAAGAAACTCATGTTGCTGCAAGAAAGAAGGTGTGTGTAGAGAGAAGTTGGGGTTACTCTTTTTTTTTTTTTTTGGTACATAATGGGGTTACTCTTTGGATTTGATGCTTTATGATGACCCTTGGAAGATCAAGAAAGTCCTTAATGGCAGTGATCTTGGCAACATGAGGAGGCTCTTGCTCCCTAAAGATTTTGCTGAGAATTTGGTGGTGCCGGTGTTGGATGGAGACGTTGAAAGAGGTGTTCAAGTTGACATTTGGGATGTAGACACTGCCTCCATTCATTCTTTAATTTTCAAGAAATGGGTTTCTTCAAGAAGCTATGTTTTCATTGGAAATTGGGTTAAAGATTTTGTATCAAGGAGAGGCTTAAAGAAAGGGGATGAGATTGGCCTTCGATCCATACAAAAATCGCTTTAATTTTTCTGTTCTTGATGCCTTTTAGGATTGATAACAGTATTAGGATTCGTGTGTAGAAACAGATGTATTGATATTTTCTCTTATTCTGAAGCAGAAAATAGCAAGCAGAATTTATGGTTTAAAAATCGCTTGATTTCGCTTGTTCAATTTGAATTTTTTGTATTGATAGCACCAATAGCAAGCAGAGTTTATGGTTTAAATTTCTCTAACTACTCATTGTCATTTTTGTATGTTGTGAGGGCATTCTAAGTGTCTGGTTTTACAAGAAAAAATTGTAAGTAGGTGAGGTACTTATTTATTTGAGTTTTTTTTTTTCATCCTTATGCGGTTATGCCTATTTCATCATCCACAAGGAGCTTGCGATCAATATGATAGTTGTATAAAATTAAGACACATAGATAGTGACACATGCAACCCCTCACGTGTAGGACACTTGATCTATCCCCTTTGGCACTTGAATCATTTTATATATCTAATGGCTAACATTTCATCATGACTCACCCTCTCCTCTCCTATCCTATTTAAAAATCCTAACCTTGGTTTTCCTCAATGGCCATTTTGTTGTTCTGGGTTTTAGGGTTTTGTTAAATGGGAAAAGGGGAGAAAAATTGGGGATTTAGGGTTTTAGGGGAAGTTGAAATTCTAGTTCAATTTTCATGTCCAAGTTCATTTCCCCTGAAGAAATCGGATTTGGAGTGGAAACAGAGTATATACTTGTGGTTGTGGAGTCTTTCAGAATTTTTTTGCACTTCTTGCATTTTTTCTTTTCTTTATTTCTTTTTTTATAAAAATTACACTACCAATCAAAAGCTAAAAATGGAAATTATCAATCAATTGAAACTAATTCTTTTAAGGTGATATAATTGAAAGGAATAATCTAAAAAATTTATTTAAACTTTAAAAGAATATAAACACTTAAATATGTAAATTGGCTTTTTGACTAGAGAGAATTTTTGTTTTGATAATCTTAATATTGTACTTTTCAAAATCTTATAGTAGCCATTAACTCGATGAGCTCAAGATTTTCAATTTTTGGTGGTGAGTAGTGACCATCTTCGTAACTGTTTTTCACTTTAATCTATTGTGATTCGTTTTTTTAGCATACCTTAACCTCTAAAATAGGGGCTCCATTTTTAACCTAAGATCTAAGGAAAAAATGCTTTTATTTTTTTTATCATTTAGTTTGAATTTTAAACTTTAGAATTAACATTATATGATTTTTTTACTCTAGTAAATTTATTATTAGTGAAAAAAATCTAAGTAGGCTGAGTCTTTGAATTTTTTATTTGCTTTTATTTTTTACAAGGACCATTATCTTTTATTATTTGGTTAAAATTACTTATGATTAGGCAGGAAATGTTCTCTTTACTTTTCGATTTAATGGATAAGGATCATATTATCTAAGATTTAAGGTTTAAAGTAAGCCTATATTGTAATTGGGGCAGGATATACTTCTCACCAAAAAAGTTTATCACTTTTACAACCAACCTAATCACCATTGATTTTCACCAATCTAACAGTTATAATTTATTGGAAATTATTGGGTCGCACTTATTAATTCTCAATAAATCCAATAAATTATAACCGTTAGATTGACAAAAATTAACGGTGATTAAGTTGGTTGTAAAAGTGATAAACTTCTATAGTGATAAGTATATCCTTTCCCATTGTAATTTAGTACCATTCGCAAGACATTTTCAATCCTTAAAACAAATATAATAGAAGTGTAAAAAACAAACTAATTTAGCTTAGAGGGTAATATTATACAAGTGTATAACTACAAAATTATTGATGAAAGGAGTCCTGTGTTAATGGTTAACTAGATTTTACTTTCTCACTCTCCCTACTTTTGTCAGGCAAATCAATTTTTGCTTTTAGTGTTTATGTAATGAGTTTCACATTTGTCATGTTACATGACTTGAAAAAAAAGTTCTTACACACATTCAAGAGGTAGGATCTATATGATTTTTTTTTCTTTCATCATTTTATTTGTTCTGTCCTTTTGAATGTGTGCGTAGAAACTTTTTTTGGATCATGTGACGTGACAAATGTAAAACCATTAATTTGCTGAAAATATATGCATCAACGTTGCTTTTGGTGTTTGTATAATTTCTATTCTGAAAACGTCTGCATCAATTTTTTTTTGTCAACGAAATAGTTGTTCAAATCTATATTTTGCTATTGTTTTTTTAATTTTCACATTACCAGTGGTTCAGTGTATATATATTGCATTTCAGAAAAGAATAAATGTACCCTTCTAGTGATGTATGGTAAATAGGACAAAACATAACATATCCGATATGGCACAATGTTATTAAAACCGGCTCGGTCATTGACCCGGTCGATGTACTGGGTCCGTGGGTCACTGGTTCAACCGCATGACCCGGTAATTATATGTAATTTTATAATTTATATTAAAAAATTATAAATATACTCAAATATTCTAAAAAAAATAATAAAAATTTCAAATATTTTAATATAAAAAATAATAAATCACATACTATTATCCAATAAAGGATCAAATAAAAATATAATGATCGTGATACGGGGCTTTAAATTCAGAAAATGACATCTCTGACTATAAATCAAATCAAATCAAAATTTTCTGCATAATGCACAATTGAGATAATATTAGTGTTGTAGGTACATAACTTATGTAAGTCAATAAGCAAAAAAATATTCAAATATGTCCATTATGATTTATTTTTTTTTGAAAAAAAATTTGGAATTTTTTTTTTAGGACCGGGCTGGGTCACCGGTTAATCGACCGGGTCACCAGTTTTCATGAAAACCGGCTGTAACACCCCGTAGTACTCCGGTTGTTAACATACATGATATTTAACATTCACAGCGGAAGGCTTTATTTTAAAAGAATACTAACACGTTTTACAAAAATACGAATAAACTTTTTCCAAAACATTTTATAAAAACATTTCTAAAAACGTTCACGTGAGATACTGTGATAGCGTCAATCTAAACATACATATACTAAATTACTCCTATGAGCCAGTATTAGTTGCCATTGACCATCAAGATATGACCATCAAGGTTAAAGAAACACAGACATCTTCATTGGTTGTGTTGCAATGGCACTTACCAAGTGACAAATGGGTACACACCATTGTATTACAAGGACACCTAGCAAGTGATAAATGAGTACAGAGATCAACGTTGTTGTCGTATTCCACTGTTGACAGTAACACAGTTGGGGTTTGGTTTCTTGAAAGCTTTAAGGTTTTTCTGTTACTTGTGTTCTGAGTGAAGTACATGACGAAGGTCCAATATGGGAATATATCCTCGCATGTGTAAGAGTGATCATGTTATTTGATCACAGTCACTCATTGATGATGAGGTAAGAGAGAGAAAATGTATAATTTTTAAATGAGTGGTTGTGATCAAATAACATGACCACATGACCATTTTTCCACATAAGAGGATCCATTCGAAATATATAAGAGGATCCACGTAAGAGTGATCAAGTTGGACCAGCTGGTTATGTAACGTTCTTATTCTGTTTTATAAATTTTTTTTTCTTTTTTATTTTATCTATTTAAGTATAATTTATATCTTAAATAATAAAATATAGGAAAATACAAAATTAAATTATACGAGTTGACCACTTGTATATTGTGAAAGTATCAAAACGTAAAAATTATTGATTGATTACAAAAATGTCTATTCACATTGATTTTTAATTATTAAATTAAGAAAAACAGTAGACAACTTTCAATTTTTTTCTTCTAAACACTAGTAATATTATCATTTGTAGATTAATTGTTACAAAATATTAATAAATGTAAATTTTTAGCATTTGTTAATAATAATAATAATTCACAAGTAAAATTGAAAATTTAAAGAAACAAAAAGAAATTAAAGGGGTGTGTTGAAGTAAGGGCTTTTGCTATTTCTTTTTACTAAAAAAACAATGGATTCGGTCTTGTTATTTTCAAAATATATTTAAAATATTCATAACTTTTCTATGGTTAAATCAACACAAATTTTTTTCTAATTTGTTCCTTCCTTTATAATCCATTAATTTATCGCAAGGTACAACAAATAATAAAAATGATTATTTGAAAAAACAAATATGAAATATATACAACTTGCACAAATAAGGAGTATAACAGAGGGAACTATAACACCCCGTATGCACCCGGTGTATTAAACATATAAATGGTAATAGCGCAACTCAGTAAATGCGGAAGCTAACTTTTTCAAATTATGAAACAATTTTAATTTTTTTTTTGTATACAAAGGAAAGAAAAGAAAACTACACAGATTGTTTCTGGGCACCAAGGTGCCCCTCCTGTCATCTAAGACTAGCTTTTCATATCGAGTAGGAACTCTATCATGCCACTGGGTATCCCAAACAGCTTGGCTAACACTTGAAGCCATCCAATCTGCCACTTGATTACCTTCTCTATATACATGACAAATTTCAACCATCCAATCTTTATCCAACAGTGATCTGACCAATTATAAAACTATTCATTATGAACCAAGTGGATTTAAATATTCCATTTCAAAATATCGTCTGTATGTAAATTGCAATAAACAACTACACTGAATAACCTCATAATATAAATAGTGTATCAAGTCATGGAACTACAACATGTTGACCAGACAGTATCCTGATACAAGGATACAACGCAAGCCAGAAATAAACATAGCTCATACCAATGTGGCATGGACAACCCCCATGCTCACCAAATAAAACACATATCTAGATCAAGTCTCAAGTCATATAGCCATATCGCGATAACAAAGCATAATCATGTCCAGGTATGACAGTAAAGCAGCATGCATAATATCAGCTCAACTCTGGCCTCCTGCCGCTAGAGGTCTCAACCTTAGAGGTACCTGTACCTGAAAATGTGCCCCACACAGGGTTTCCTTTTTCGTTTTGTGCTCTTAGGCTTTTCCCAAAGCCATATTCCTTTAATCTAAATGATTCTGGCTTAGTTAACTTATTACAAAAGTTCACATTAACCAATCATGGG